TATCATAGAAAAAAGGAAGGATTTACTGACAGATGATATGGCTGTTAGACATATGTCTCTGCATCTCATAATAATAATACCGGCACTACTCTAAATGGTTTCCTAGTTTTCCATAATATGTGGTTGCTATTTGTGCTCTTCCCTTCGACTTTGGCTAGTACTTGCTTGCAGATAAGCAGCCACAGGTACAAATGTTCGTGGGAGAAAATAGAAAATGGAGATAATTCTCTCCATTACCTTGATTTTCTCCCCCCTGCAAATTGGAAAAGGACAGCTATGATTTGATGTCCGTGAGAAACAACCTTATTCTAGCCCCCAGGACACTACTTCAGGGCCATCAGTGCTAGGAGAGGAAAGGTTATCGGGCCCCAAGTTGAGGCCCTAAACAAGAGTTCTCCTGGCTCGAATGCCCAAAGGCCAATAATTACAGGCAAATTAGCTCTTGGAGTCCATTTCCACTGGATTACATCTTAAGATCAAGGTGGTGTGTCAAGCCTTGAGGAGTAGACCTAGGGAAGGCCCTCGGAGATAGCAGTGGGGTCTGACCCTATGATATACTGGGGGTGCCATTTCACATTTTAAGAGATGTTATCTTAAAACGTGTATACATTTCTTTTGGCACTCTCTGTATATGAAACTTCTCTGTAAACTATAACATACAAAGAGTCATTAATTATCTCCCTCTGGCTAATAGTAGGAATGTGAGCAAAACGGGTTCAAAGCTGAAGAAAGTCAGGCTCAAGGTTAGCCCTTATCTAGCCTCAGTCCACATCCATTTGCCACTTGTCAGGAAAAGCACTCACCCTAGCTCTCCAAGTCCATCCCCAACAGGTGAACCCTAGGAGCTATTTCAAACAACAATAGTAATAGCTATTACTCATTTGTTGAGTACTCAGGGCCGGGCACTGGCCTGAACACTTTATACTACTTCACTGAATTCTGACCACAGCCCCAAGGGGGTGTTAGTATCTCCATTTCACAGAACTGGGGGAATTCAAGTAACTTTCCCCAGTTCACTCAGTTAGTGAGTGGTCAAATGAGACTGGCACCTAGGTCTATATGTCTCCAGAGTCTTATGAGCTCAGCCACATGGCTGCATTCTCTCTCTCTCTGCCTCACAGCAACCCCAGAACACATGCATTCATCTCAGGACATGAGATGGGAAGAAGCTGCGTATAGTTCTTTTTGGGGAGCAGCTGGTAATCTCCAAATTGGGTGGGGTTCAGGCAGGGGTTAGTATGACAGCACCAGGAGGTGATGGTGCCAGCAGGGAAGTCCCTGGAACAGTGCCTGGAAAGGGGAAGACACAGCATCACCACGCAGGGCCTACCAGCCCCCGAGAGAAAGCCCTGGCCGTGTCTGTCTCACAGGACCCACTGCAGAGGAGAACACAGTTGGATACCCACCACCAGGAATGCTTGTGCTGCATATTGACAGGCTGGTACTCATGAGAGAAGGGGGAAGGGCATTATGCCCCCACCCTATTGGGTGTGCTCTCTCATCTGCCACCCAGTCAACATTCAATAAGCACCCACTCTTCACCAAACACAGCTGGGTCCTCAGAATCCAGAGGTGAAAAGGCAGTCTCTACCCTCAGGAGCCTGAAGTCCAGGGGGTGGCGGTGAAGACATAAACAAACACATAATTGCCATAATTGCAGCACAGGTAAGGGGTGTGACAATCAAAGTTCTGTACAAGGTGCTAGGGGAGCCCTGAGGCAGGGCTGCCAAGGAAGCCTGGGCCGAGACACAGGCGCTGGAGATTTCAGCTGCTGGGCTCTGCCTGACTCAAAAGCCACCCTAACTGCTGCCTTGAGTGGCACAAGGACCAGCAAGGGAGGAGGTGGCTGCTGTGGGCAGCACTGATAATGTTCCTGCCAATGTATGCCCATGGTTTATAAAGCAGGTACCACCCCACCGTCTTCCATCTGCATAGAGCTGTCCAATACAGCGAGGGGAGGCAAGTCAGCTACTTCTTGACAGAAAGGTTGAAATACAACTTTTGGGATCTTGGGGCAACTGCTCCAAGCCATGGGATCCCACTGATCAGGAACCCAGCAGCATGATTCTGGGGAGAAAATCAGAAGTTTCAGGTGAAAGGAAAAGTGAGATTTGAAACATCAAAGAGGAGCAGCTGGTCTTGGTACCAAAGGAGGCTTCCAAGTCAGGCTCCAAATGCCCCAAGGGTTAGGACTCCTAGAGCAGCAGCAGAGAGGTAGCCACTGCCACCACCGCCACCACCAAGTATGGGCCCAGACGATGCTGGCGACCTCCCCCGTGTGTTCCAGGCACAGGCACAAACACCACCCATTTACAGCTCCCCCGGCAGCAGGCCGGAACACTCATTCTGCCTGGAAAAGGAGTGGGCCGACAGTCCCAAGTATGGGTGCCTCCTGGGCAGAAGAGGGGAATTTGATTAGGATGCTGGAAGCCTGCAACAAAGAAAACCCAATAACCAGTCCCTGAAAGGGGGATGGGAAGAAAGATGACCCTGGTCTGGAGAAGCAGCCCTTCATCCCCAGCTGCACTCGTGTGGAATGTAACTCTGCAGCTCCGAGCCTGGGGGAGAAGTGATACTCAGGAAATCCCCAAAAGTACTGTCCCCTGGGAAGGTCAATGTCCAGGGAATTCCAGGACACAGAGAGATACATCCTTAGATCGAACTCCAGGTCTTGAAGAAAGAAAACAGTCCCCAAAATGATGCATTCATCTTTAAATAGTTCACAGAGGCAGAAAAACATTCTCCTTTAGAGGAGAAAGATTAAGGACAGAGAGACAGATATACTGGCTTTGGGTCACACAGTAAGTTGGTGCCAGAAAGAAACTGGGCCCCTTGTCCCTCCGTGCGCTATTTCTAGAGCCTCTGATTTTTTATGAGTCTAAAGTAGGGCCAAGAAGGGGCTCTTCTCTTATTTGGGGTGGTGCCAGCTTGGTTAGCCAGATCCTTTGACCTCGAAGGAAGCATTTTTACCAACCTCTCCTCCTGGCTGCAGCCTCCCAAAGTTATCTTTCTGGTAAAAGGGGGGTGGGGTGGAGTGAGGAAGTCCAAGAAAATGACCATGAACACAAGTGCAACAGATGCGCCCAGCTGTTGTCACTGGGGAGCACAGATAAGGGTGCAGGGCCAGAGGCTCCTAAGGAGACGCAGTCTTGGATGATAGAGGAAGTCCGCCTGAGGACCTGAGGGCCCTGCGTTGTTAGTGCTAGCTCTGAGGATGGCACATCATCCTCCAGGATGGTATGTCACTAGCCTGGTACGCTCTGTGAGCTTGTAGGAGGGTTTGTGAGGACTTGCCTTAGGTAGGGAGTTCCCCTTAGGACATACCCTAGCCCTGGCAGAGTGGGGGTGAGAATTTCTACTGTTCTTCCATAGCCTCCAGCTGAAGCAGAACCTAGACCATGGGGGAACTTGGGGGAACTGGGTAACTACTAATACAGCTAACACCGCAGCTACAGTAGCAGCCAGCTGGGTAAAAGACTTCCCCTAGCACTGTGGTTAAGCAGAAAAACCACCAGAACAACCCCATTAAGCAGCTGTTCGACCCCGGATGAAACAATGAACATCTCTATGCTTTAGCTTTCTCATATGCGTATATAAAATGCAGGTGCTAGATAAGCTGTCTTCTAAATTTATTTTTCCAGTTCTAAAACTGAGTTAGGAGCTTGAACTTCATTTTTCTCAACACAATGGCTGAGAGTGAGCTGTCATCGCCACCCTCTGAGATGTCTCTCATTTGTCCCAACAGGCTAGCACTTATGTACCCTGTGTCTGTTCTTCACACCATGGCCCCCGTGAAACCTTTCCAGCAACTGGCTTAGATGCCTGGTCTGCTCCCTCTCCTCAGAAACATATTTTAGACTCATGATTCTTCCCTCCTGCAAGTCTGAACTTTAGGTCTCAGGCAGAGGTAGGCAAGCGTAATGGGCACCTAGAGCAGCAGCTCTGGTGTAGTTGGAGCTGAAAGAGAAAAGGGGAATGGTGGGGGTGGGGGTGGGGGGAACCTCCCTACATTCTCAAACCCCAGGGGCCCAGGGACTCTTTAGACATGAAACAGGATTGAGCTAGCATTTCATGATCTGGTCCAGCTGGATTCTCAGGTCCCGCAGAGTATTTCTGCCATCCTTGATCAGACTGGGTTTGAGTTTATGGAGGAGACTAAGGCCTACAGGGGTGAACATATTGCAACAATTAATGGACACAATTCAACAATTAATGGCAGTCAAGTCAACAATTAATGGCAGAGTGGGGATGAGAATCCAAGTAGCCCCAAGTCCAATATTTTCTCCCCTTTTCCACCCCCAAGCAGAAGATTCTGAAAGGACCCCTGGCCTTCCAGCCCAACATAGGGTCCTATTTAAAGAAGCAGAAGACTGTCAGACCCCAGGGAATGAAGTCTGGTCCTGAGAAAGGTGGGGCAAAGTTTGTGACGGTGCTGGGAAAGACATCCACACCTGAGGCCATTCCTGTCCCTCCTCAGCCTTTGGGGAGAAGGGGCACTAGAGGCCTGCAAAAGGAGATGAAAGCCTTTCGCCCACCCTCTCTAAGGTAAGGGGCAGGGAAGGTCTGGGTTTCCCACTTCCTCTTTTTTCTTTGCTAGCATATCCTCCCAGTCCTCAGGCCTGAAAGTCCCCCAGTCATGAATGTACCCGTGGGTCTGCCTTGGGCCAACAAGAAAACCCACTCCTCCCACTCAAACCCACCTTTTTGGCCTGACACAGATCCTTATTCGATGCCCAGAGACTACCCATAAGTCTTTACTGAATCTCTTGCATACCTCCCCCCCGCCCCCGAAACCCCCTCTAGACAAGGCGCCACTGTGGTGTCCCTCCCCAGGATAAATTACCCCAAAGTGCCATAATTCCAGAAAACTAGGCAGTGCCGCTCACCATGCTCGCCTTGAACCGGGCATCTCAGGACGCCCCTCCTCAGACGCGGGCAGCCCACTCCACCCTCCGCGGGTGCCCTGCAGCCCAGGTGCCGCCGCGACCCCCAGGACTCACCCAGAAGAGCATGTTGAAAAAGAAGAGCAGGTATTTCACCAGCGGACTGACGAAGGAGAACTCCTCTACGTAGGCAGCCGGCGCCCCGGGTCTCCGGGCCATGGTCCCGCCGCCCCCGCCCCCGGGGGCCTATCTCCCCGCCGCGACTGGCCCACCTGCGCGCTCCGCGCCTGGGGGCATGAGCCGCGCCGGCGCCGGAGCCCGAGCCACCGGGAGCTGCGCCGCGGCGGGAGACGGGAGGTGCCCGAGCCCTGCGTCCGGGAGAAGCGCGGGCAGGGGAACGGCGCCGCCACCGGAGCCGCGGGGAGTCGCTGGAGCCGCAGCCGGCAACGTGAGCGCAGAAGACTCGGTGGCGGCTGGAGGACCAGCCTGGCCCTCCCGGCTCCCCAGGAAATCGGGCCCGCCCCCGGACGCCCATTGGCGCAGCTGCCGAAGCTTGACTTCTCATTGGTCGGTCGCTGATGTCACTAAGTGTCCAGCCATCCCTCTCCTCGGAGAGGCGGGGGAGACACCTGTTCGGTGAGGGACAACTTGCTAAAGGGTCAGTGGTTCTGCTTTCTCCCCTGAGAAAGAAAGCATCCAGGCTGCAGCTGCTCAAGGGGAAGGGGATGGGAAGGAATGCACACTGCATCACACACCCACGTCCTCTACCCAGTTGCTGTGCACATATGCAAACACACATACATTAAAATCAACAAGTACGGGTACCGTGTGTTGAGCAATGCGCTGGGGGAATACAAGAGAATACAGAGATAATCCCGAGGGAATGACAATAAAATCAGGAAGACAAAACTAATCTACACATAACAATTAGGGAATATTTAAGAGTAGCTGCAATTCTGTTTAGTAACTATACATCTTAAATGCTTATTTCAAAAGCCCTATAACCCAATAGTGGACATTTGGAAACATCACCAACAGTCCTGTCATCCAAATTCATTACTGTTTCAATTCCCACTCTCTGTTTCCTTAAAGTCTTGATCTACACGCAGACACCGTTTTTAACACGCTGATCTGACATACACATAGGTTGAGTGCAGTGTAGGTGGTGGACAATGTGCTAGGTACCATAACTAATACAAACATGAATGCTGTAGACTGAATGTTTGTATCTTACCCCCTCCCCCAAAGTCATATGTTGAAATCCTAACCCCCAAAGTAATGGTATTAGGAGATGGGGCCTTTGGGAGGTGTGTAGGTCCTAAGAATGGAGCCCTCATGAATGGGATGAGTGCCCTTATAAAAGAGACCCCCAGAGAGCTTCCTAGCTCTGTCCTCCATGTGAGGACACAGCAAAAAGACAGCTGCCTATAAACCAGGAAGTGGGATCTTATCAGACACTGAATCTGTGGGTCTGTGGGTGCCTTGGTCTTGGACTTCCCAGTTTCCATAACTATGAGCAATAAATTTCTATTGTTTATAAGCCACCCACTTTATGGTATTTTTGTTATAGCAGCCTGAATGGACTAAGACAATGGGCGTGAGGGAGGAATCTGATTCCATCCTCATCAACTGCATGACCTGGGCAAGCTGCCTAATCTCCCTGAACCTGTTTTTTTTAACATTAATTGGGGAAAGTCCTGGCCTAACAACATTGACATGAGGATTAAATGTGATAATGCATGCAAATCACTTAGCACAGGTTGACACATAGAAGGATTCACTAAATACAGTGTTTTGTTTTAACAGAATTTAGAATCCAGTAGGAAAATATATTAACTGCACAAATAACTATAATACATTTGGTGGAGAGTTAGTGAAGATATCATGGCAAGTGGAATTAGTTGAGAGGAAGAGATTTAGAATAGTGAAGGTGAGGGGAAAGGTAATCCAGGTGAACAAAAGGGTGGATCAAAGCCTGGAAGTACAAAAGCACTCTGTGTATTGAGTGAAAAATAAGCACACTGGTTTGGCTGGAGCAGAGGACATGCTTAGTATAGCAGTGGATGATAAAACCGACTGATGCCAATACAAATTGAATTGAGTTAAAATCGTGGAAGGACTTGAATATCAGATTGGGGAATTAGTGCTTAATTGATTTGGAAATAAGAAGAAGGGAATGATTTAAGACCTACTTTATTTCTCAGTTAGAGTGGGAAAGAGGCTGCAGAGAGAAAGGTTTGTTAGGAGACCACTATTAATAGTCTAGATAATCAGATATTAGGATCTAATTTAGAGGTAATGGACAGAATTGATAGGAAAGCATGGGAGCGAAGCCATTGGGAAGACAGAGTCTCTAGGACTAGGCTACGGTGGGGGTAGGGGTGACAGGAGCACCAGCGGTGGGGTAAAAGAAGTGAGCCAAGGCCAGGTTTTTGGGAGACTGGCCATTAACAGGCTAGGTGACTACTTGGAGATCAGTTTTAGTATGAAGTGGGTGGGGTGGGCAGAAGTCATTTTACAAGAGATTAAGCAGTGAATGGGTAAGCAAAGTGTGGGTACCCATTTACAGAAGTTAGAGGAGTGAGGACTGAGAAAAAGACCATCTATTAGATGACTGTCCCGAGATCAATTTTAGTACAAACAGGAAGAAAATGGTGGATTACAGGTAAGGAGGGAATGGGTGTGTGTGTGTGTGTGTGTGTGTGTGTGTGTGAAATGGAACCCGTGGATGAAGACTGTGGACACCCCTACTTACAGGTTTGAAAGTTACTGGAGATTTAAGAGACCTTAGAATGAAGGGAAAGTTCTCTTTTAGCATACAGGAGACTTGACATGCTTGGAGGCAAAACAAGCCAGTAAAAAAGGGATTGAGGTGGATAATGGGTGGGACAAGGTTTTGGAGTTAATGGTGGGATCAGGAGTCAATGAGATAACCACAGTGTCCATCATGCAGAAGTCAGGGACAGCACCCATACAGTAGGAAGCCATGTAGCTCTAGAACAAAGAATAAGGAAATGCTCCATGTACTGAGTTGAAACAATCTCCGAGATAAACTATAAAGTGAAAAAAGCAAAGTGAGGAAAGGTGTATATAATGTATTACACTCTGGTTGAAAACAAAGAGAGTGACAAAAATAAGAAATGACATTTGCATTTGCTTGCATCTACTTAAATTCTGGAATGATACAAAAGATACTAAGAAAGGAGGTTACGTATTGGAGTGGGGGTAAGAACTAATAAGAGAGGAGAGAGACTTTACAGTATGTGCCATTTTAATTTTTCTGATTTTTGAAACATGGAGTGTATTAATTATTCAAAGCATTAAATTAAAAAAATTATATCCTTATTATGGAATGCTATGCAGCCATTTCGGATAATGGAGAAAATATAAGTGCTGACTTGGGAAGAGGTCCATGATATAGGAAGTGTGAAAAGCAGATAGTAGAATCAAGTATATAAAGTATCAGATAACCAGGAAATGGTTTCAATTTATTTCAGGTCCTTGGAAGGCATTTTAAGTCCTTGGTATATATTATCTGGCCTTTAAAAATAAAAATCACAGAGGTTATGTAATAACACATACAATTTTTATAATGTAAGTGAAACATTTAAAAAAGCATATTCACAGGGTGAAATATGTGTCAATATCAATAGAGATGAGCCAATGAAAATGTAAAGGTAAAATCAGGTGCATTGATGTGGTGGGATGTGTAGCCATTTCTAACTTTAAAATTATATTTAATATTATGATATATGGTTATGAAAAGAATTAAAATATGTAAATGATATTTCTGTAAAGCAAAAAAAAAAAGTCATGTGGCTGGAGCTAACATTGGCAAGAAGATGTGTGAATAAAGGAACAGTGACAAGGAGAAGGAGTTTGAAGTAAAGCAGGGCAGGAGACTGGAGGAAACATGGTTTAGCATCAGTGATAGCCCAGCTAGGCTGGCTGAGAATCACAGTGATCCCAGTTAGCCAGGCTGGTGATTGCCTCAAAAAAATACGTGGTAGCCTGGAGAGCCCACTGTGAGAACTACAAGTGCTGAGAACTGCAAAAAGGCAAGTGATGCTGGGATGGCTTGAACCGCACCATTGCAAAGCCCATCTGTGAGACTTAGGATTGCAAGAGAATTAACTGCTGGTACGTGAGTCTGAGAGAATTAAAAGGTTTGTCGACAAACCTCTGTTTAGCCTTAAAAAAAAATTTTTTTTGTCTTTTAACTTTTTCTTGATATACAACATATCTACAAAATGCATCATTCTCTTTTATTTATGTGCTCTTCTTTCTACCTTTTGTATATATACTTTTAAAATCTGAGCTCACTACAAAACTACGTGTCCAGAGTAATCAGAATTTTGTAAAATGGAAACAACAATATTTCTAAATGTATAGAAGGAAATGCATCATAATGTAAATAATGATTATCTCTGCATGGTAGAATAATGGTTGCTTTTTTGTGTGTTACTTTTGTTTTTCCCCAAATTTTCTTTAGTGAACATGTTTTACTTGTAGGAAAAAAATGTTTGGGGTTCTTGTTTTCACTTTTGATTAAAAACATTTTCAAATACACAGAAAGGTAGAAAGAATAGTCTAAAAACATTTATAGTCCCATTACCAAATTTTCACATTTTGCCATGTTTGCTTCATTCATTATTAAGCCATAGCCATCATAACATTCCACCCTAATTAATTCAGTTTTCATATCTTTAAAAAATGACTTTTTAAAACATAACTACATTAACATAATAATTCCTGACAAATTTAACAATAATTCCCAAATATCAGCTTGTACCTAGTTCATACTCAAATTTCCCGAATTTACTCCAAAATATTCCTTAGAGCTGTTTGTTCAAAGCCGGATTTAATCAAGAACTAGTCCTTGCATTTGGTATTACGTGGGATTTTTTTTTAAGAAACCTGACTTAATTGAAACTTCATGAGCAATTAAAACAACATTTCATGAAGAAGATGTCATTTGAAATTCTATTCTTAAGGATATGTCAGAATTGACATGGGTAGAGAAATGAGGAGGTCATTTCAGGAACAGAAATCAAAGTGAGAAAACGTAAGAGAGACAGGTAAGACAGGTAAGTAAGAAAGGTAGCAGATGTGTTTGAAGAGTGGTATGTAGCCTAGTTTATTTGGATCAAAAGGAAGGGAATAATGGGGGATAAAATAAGCAAAATAAATTGGAGACAGATCATGGAGGGCCTTGAAGTTATTTCCAGCACACTCTGCAGAGCACTTGAGAATTTAAGTGTGCCCCAGATGTGAATAATCCATCAGTTCATAATGCCTGCAGGACAGTGGCTGTGTTTTATACATCTGTGTATACCTGGTACCTAGCAGAGCATACCTTGTGGGATGCTCAGAGTGTAGTCATTATTGAAAATATGGTGCCACTGAAGGAATTTTAGTTGGAGACTAACATGCTAAAGATCTCCTTTGGGAAGATTTAGAAAACTGGTTGGTAATGATGGTGAATAGAATAAGA